CTCTATGTGAATCAGATTCTTCATCTTCAAGAAGGTCTCTCTAAAGCTTTTTACCAAGGTCTCTCTAAACCTTTTTACCAAGGTCTCTATGTGAATCAGATTCTTCATCTTCAAGAAGGTCTCTCTAAAGCTTTTTACCTAGGTCTCTATGTGAATCAGATTCTTCATCTTCAAGTAGGTCTCTCTAAAGCTTTTTACCAAGGTCTCTCTAAAGCTTTTTACCAAGGTCTCTATGTGAATCAGATTCATCATCTTCAAGATTACGAAATTCTTAGCCAACTTGATTTAGTTGATCTTGACCGCTCACAACGACTATAAGGGCAAAGAGGGCAAGTAAAATGAGGGTTAGCTTGTTCATATTCTAACTTACTTATTTAATTTTATTATTATAATTCTCCTGGTTTCTTTTCTTTAAATACTAAATTTTTCCTGATTATTAGAAATAAAACTTATTCTTCAAATCCTAATTGAAATTGAAGAAGACAGGGAGTAACTGATATTTTATTAATATATGAAAATGGAACATGCTAATCTTATTGATAGCATGAATTTTAGAGTGAAGTCAAATACTATTATTATTATGTCCTCATTTTTCAGTAGTTTACTTGTCTTTAACAAAATATTTCAAACTTTCTAAAATTGTAGTAGTTTTAGTCAGACCTTCATAACCTAAAAAATTGAGAAATTTTAGTTTTCAAAAATGCTGAATTCTAAAATATATCCTTAAAAATTTTCAATATCCCTATGAGTTATTTGAATATAAAAATTCCTAAAAGAGTAGAAGAAATAATCAGATTTCAATAAGAGCTTCAATAATGAATGATACTTAAAGTTTGACTATTATCATTTAAAAACCATTATACAAGTCTTTTAATGTTGAGGTTGCAATTTCATTACAAATCTTGAAATAAGCATAAGTTGAATAATTAAAGTAGAATTCAAATTATAAATACTTCAGAAATTGTTGCAAGAAACCTCAACAAACAGATGCATATGGAAATTTTAAGAAATCTTTTAAATTTTTTAAAAGTTAGAAGTATTCTCATGTCCTTTTCAATAATATTAGAAGGTAATGATCTTTTTGATAATACCTTTTGCTATAAACATCAGATTGATTGAGAGAAGTTTTAATATTGGTAAAACTGTTAGTAAGATTGGGTGAGTAAATGTAAAATAAATGTAAAGTGGGCATGAATAAAGCAAAATTAACAAATTTCTATTGAAATATAATTTATGAATAACCATGCAAAATCTTTACTTATTCAATATAATCCATTTTTAAAGAAATCAAGACATATTTATTTTTCTTATAAATATCAATTGAATGTTACTTCTATCTTTAGGGGTTTTGGGGTTTTGGGGTTTTGGGGTTTTGGGG